TCTCGCTTAACATTGATTGCAATCTGCAAAAACCTGTATTAGACTGTCTCCAGTACACAATTTCAGCCTTAGTGAACCAGTTTGTATCTCTGGCCCCAATCAACTCCGGACGACGCCAAATCTCCAGTAGTTTTCTAATATACTGGTGATGTGCATTGATTCACAAATCTCATGGCAGGAAACAAACGTCCTATTCTCATCACTAGACTCTCGATTTTCTTCTGTCTGCAGCTGTCACTAGCACTAATTAACATATATTTCACACTCACACACACACACACATAAACGCAACCGAATAAATTTAGACTTGGATGGAGTGTGAGCCCTAAGAAGAAATCTATCAAGCAGCGCAATATCTGCACGTGCAATCTCAGCTAGATGCGCACTAACCTCCAAACCATATCTACTCATTTAATGATGCTCAATAAATGTCAGTAGTGTTGCCTTATTGAAAAAGGTAGGCAGTTTGTGTCTAGTCACTTTTGTGTCTTAAATTTAACCTCGAGAGAATTGATCTTAATCCACTACCGAGTTTGCAACTAAGTGAATGTAACTTTATATCTGCAAATAATGTGAAGCTTCAATTGTCACCTAGCCGCCCGTACGAAGCGATGAGCATGATTAACTAAAACGCTACATATGATTTTTGCCTAAGATTACGATTAAAGTAACAAGAAAGCTGCACGTCGAACGCCGTAGTGTAACAAAGTCTGTGCAATTGTTTACCTCTGATAAGATGTAAATTTGAAATTAGCGTCGATTTAATAATATCAGCTTTGTTATCATAGAGTGACTGATGCTGTATGCGTGACCGATGCCCCATTCTAGTCAAAGTACATGTAGAATTGCATGTCTATCAGTCGCCTTGCCATCCAGAGCAGACTAGGTCAGGCATGTACCTCTAAAACACCGCGTATGATGGTCTTACATTGTAACATAATCAAATCGGTTTACTAGTTTTAGCACACAACGACCGCACTCAGATAATTGCATTCTGATGTTTTTTTCATGGTGTGTGTTTGAAAACTTCAAGGTCAAAGAAGTGTAAATTAATGCGGTACATTAAAATTCTATGAAAATGTTTGCGGATTGATGCTCAAGCCGAAATTTAGAACACTTTTGCCTGGTAGATTTTTAAGCCTAATTTACAGCACTCCGATTCCTTGGTGGTAATAAATGTTGGCATGCACTGTTGTTCTCGTGTCTCTCTTCTCAGGTCGTTTAAGTATTGTTAACTAGAGGTTGTAAGGTTGTAGTGCCCGAGTACAGCATAGAATTCCATTTACGACATGCGTTTTATGCTTCATAATGCTGACAACCATTGCGAAATGCATGTTGATTATCCAGTTTCCGGTAGTACACCAAGAATTATCATTTAGCGACGGACAATCAATTTCGAAATTGAGATTAAAGTTTTACATATCTGGAGTCCAGCATTTGTGAAACGCACTTTAATCCTGCATGCTGCACAGATTATTCCTTTTGTAAATTAATTGACAAAATAACCGTTTCAAAACCTTTTGTCTCCTAATAATAATGTCTCTCAAGTAATTCATTTTGGTCACCATTTGAAATTTCGCCGTGAGATGTTGCATCTTAAAGTATATTCGCGCAATGTTTTGCTGATTTCAGCCCTCTCCAAAATTACACTTGATAAATTTGAATTTGAAAGATAGTTATGCAATTTTCCTTTTTTTTCATTCATATATTTTACCTTTTCCCATGATAAGTGCACACGAAATTTCCTAGTTAAATTTTAGCACTTTGACGTGCCCTGCTAATCACTACCTTATCATTATCAAATTTGCAATGCCTCGAAAACTTTTAGGTTTACCAGACAAATCTTTAGATCAATGTGTAACTGAACTACGTAGTGGACACTTGTGAGCCATTAGGGGCGTTCAAAAATACTTTTTAAAGTCTTAGTTAAGTTTCTTTTAATTTAAGTAAACCTATTTAGCATAAAGTCTTGGCATAGCAGCTGATATATACCAGAAAAAAGAAGCTATAGTAGGCTTTTACGAGAGGCTTAGGTGATTCGTAAATTAAAAAAAAAGGTAGAAGTAGCAATCTTGTGATATCTGTCGGAAAGTGATAATCCGCTTTCAACATTTCGTGCAAATACGCATCTTCTCTCCAGCAGCATGGATATGTATATTCATGGAATTGGAAAAATCAACTAAATTTGAGTAATAAGTGTTTCCACTTCTAACTCTTGCAACATTACCCAACCTAACATATGCAAACAGATTTTATTGAGATTTCTAGGAATTAATGAAGAAATACAATAATTACTGCATACTCACTTGATGAAAGAGCAGAATAACCACAAAGGACAGCTACATATATTTAGCTAAAAGTGTGTTACGAATTTGCACCAAGTCAGGCAAGAAAGAATACAACGGCAGCAGAAAAAATCACAACTTGAAACGCCTTTACGTTTGTCGTAGATGAATTTGTGGCCTGTTTTCCTTCCGCCTGCAGAACAACATCCAGATCTGATTTCACCACGCACTGATTGAGTCGACATTCACTCCCTTGAGGACATTTGGAGCAAGCAGGTCCTGCCAAATAGGGCTTTTCCCCCGGGACATTACCTCTTTGAGAAAATGGAAAGTGGGGGGATTAACGTGAATCTCAGGATTCACGTAATTAATGTCTATTGAAAATGTTCACGAGCATCTTAGAAATGCACGTACTTCCAGGGACTTACGCGGGTTTGAACTGACATGCCATGAGATACGCGGGGTCACCTGAATCAGACCTGATGTTAGGGCATTGTTTAATCGCACATCCAACAGCATTCGAGGTTGCCCAGGTCATCTACAAATGAGTGCACTGTTACTTGTCGTGATTAAACGGTGTTTTCTTTCTAATCAAAGTCGCTTTTCGAACATTTAGTAAATCTCATTTAATTCCATGATCAATCTTTTGCATAAAGACGACTGCGGTAAAAATAATTAAGAATAATGCAACGAGTGAGAATCCCTGATTCATAAATCAAAATTGCTTTTATAATTTGTTTAATTAATTGTTTTAATTTGCACCTACTTGCGTGTAGTTGCCACAAGTCTCCGAACACGTGTTTGTTTCATAATCGTAGTTAAACTTTTCATAAATAAAATGGTAAACCATGTCTGCAGGGCTACGTTGCTCATGGAACTCTACTGCATAACTTTTCCCAAGGTCCCGGTATTCAGGTAGAATGTCCCAGTTTTTTGTTCCCATGAGGCAGTCGTCTACCCAATCTCCGGCCAACATTTCGAGTTCTACAGAGTAGCGCTAAAAAAATAAATAAATGCGTGCATATATTAAAAATATAAGTTATTAAACTCAAAAGATTGATAAGGCCAAATTAATGGAACATAGCATAGAGCCTCTTTATTAATACAGCATTTAACCTATTGTTCAAGCCACAATGTAGCATTAATGAGTACCATTACACATCACAGTGAGTGTAAACAATTTTAAGTTCACAGCAACGCACCAACATTTGCATATTGCTTGCTTCGGGTTTAACCCATGAACGCAATTTTGCAAAATTAACATCTATTTCGTTTCGTTCAGCCGGAGTTAGAGCCTTGGCGGCCATGGCGAATGCCAGAATCACAACAGAAATAATCTTGTGCATAGTTCTAAAACAGCAAAATAGAACATTGTCTTAGGGTAGATGAAAATAGGGCGCCCATATACTCTAGTGCTTGCGTGATGCCCAATGTAAACGCTAAATTTAAATTAAGTGCACAAACATATATATGCACAGAGTAAGGCTGCAATCTCTAGAGCCAATTAGAATTCACGTGACAGCACATTATGCAAAGTAACAAAATTTAACCTTACAAGTGCAAGTAAATAACAGTCGACTTCGAGACATGAAAGTGTGCATGCACGCGCCCCAAACAACAATCAGTTAAATATGAATACCGACTAAACATATGCCCATAGATTATTTTTTTTATAATTTTACCAATAAAAATGGGTGTATTTGTATTTAATCCATGATGACATTGTGCAAACGTACAACACAAATGAAATTAATTTTTTTGATATCACTTAATAAAACATAAATACTTATGTGTTGCTTCATTTTTGCTACTGTAGTTGGCAAAAAATGCGCATTCCTATTGCAGATGGTTTTGGGCGAAGGAATGAAATCACCATTTGGACGTGTCGGTAGAAGGTCTTAGCAGGTTGACTGATGTGAATAATCCATTCGTTATTTTCTATACAACCCACTCGTGTGGAAGCAGACAGGTCGAAACCAGGCAAATACCATTTTTCTTAAGCACCTTGTAAATCATAATTCTAAAAACGCATTAAATAAAATTTGTGTATCTATTTGATTGATGCTTTCAGCGTCTTTGCTCAAAATGACAATGCAAAGTATTAAATGTCCATTTTTTATAAAAAAAATTGGCATTTTAGCGTTAGCATCCAAAACGAAATTTGACTGCCTTTTATAACTCATCTCAGGGTTAGTGAATTAAATGAACCAGATATAATGTCAAGAACTGTTGAATGTTCTTCTAGTCAGTTTGATTATGAATATAGTAACAGTATGATCAAGGATAAACTACACCTATACCCATGAATATAGCTATTCGCAGTTACCTGAGCTTTGAGTGGATGTTATTAAAGCTCAAACTCATACCGATTGCTATCTTTACATCATCTGGGTTTCAGATTTCATCGATGCGAACGTGTTACTGATGCTGTTTTTAAAAAAAAAACAAATTTTGAGTCGCATGGGGTTGTCTTTTTTAATCATCAGGACTGAAGCGTGCGATTGAACATCACGTTTAAGCGTTACAAAATTCAACGTACATTAGATAAAACGGTGATGATGATGGGATTCATATTGACGTTTAGAACAACTACAGGGATACAATTTGGCAGTCTATTTTCGGTTAGGTCAAATTGTCACAAACTTCTCCCCACAGAAAACAGTTGCTTCGCGTCATCATAGATTTGATATCAAAATGATATGCCATCAATTAAAACTTATTGTTGTTACACATGATCCGATACAAATATTTAATGCTGGCAAACCTTTGCACTAGCCATGGTAACATCTTTATACAAATTCAATTTTTTTATAAAGAAACAATTGATCTCGATTTACATTTCCAGCAACCTTATTGATGCAGTTCTGCGTGACTGCGTTGGAGTGATGCAAGCAGAGCGACAATATGAATTTACTGCCTAAAGGATAAAATTGTTCTAATGACTATAAAGTCGTCTGACTAACCAATGGCAATTACCTAAGCAGACTGGCAGTTCACTGTTCTCATTTTTTTTATCAAAACTCATTATTCTTTATAAAAGATTTAACCGCGAAATTTGTTTTTAGATGAATGCTAGTACTAATTAGCCCTTACAGTGCATTTAGTTATGTGTAATATGCAGCATTGATCTAACTCTTTCTAACTTACGTGATTACTTCAATATCTTTCGGCCTACATTGCATGCTCTTCCTATTTAAAGAAAATACAATCCTTGTAAAAAAGGTGATCTGTGGAATAACAAATCAAAGGATTTGGCATGGATATAGGTAACCATCTCAAAACAACACTTGCTGATTCAAAATTTCCACTAGCTCTTTTATACTCACAGGTCAAAAAACGCAAATCAAATCAATCAATGAAGCTATTAAAAATGGGTTAGCGGTGTGGTAATAATTATGCAGCACTCATCCAACTTAAACACGCTAATTGCAATTTAACAGAAGCATATTTTGACTGCTTCCGACATCGGTAGGATTTGGGTTACTGGATAGCGAAAGGACTACCCATGTTAAATATATTTAGAAATCCGTCTTAGTTACTTGAACCATTTTGGTAAAAGTTACTTGCATTAAATTTTCATTTTTCTTGGCTCTAAGCTACCACACACAGCAAGAATGCTTTAATATCGTTCATCGTCCGTTAATTTTGAAGCAAACTGCTTCACGGAAAAAGTATTTATGAAGTGAGAGTGTGATGGCTCATAATACGGTTTCGATTAATCATTTTGGAGATATGAGTCGACTCAGTGTTAACTGCGGCGGATAACAGATCTATTACAAGCAGTAATTAAATGTTACTTAAATGAGGAATGTTTCGATGATGGAATTATATTCTTCATGACATTCTGGAAAAGAGCTGTCATAAGCTAAGGTCATTTGTTAATCTATAGTAAAGAGTTTAGACAGTCTAAGAATACTGTGCTTAACATTATTCATCATTGTTATAAACTATGTCCTTTCACGTTTGTGGCGAGCAGCATGCGAGAACAGCAAGCGTGAGAAAACATTATTAAATCAGTTTACGTGAATGCACTTCACGTAATTGTGTTCGTTCAGACGACAATGTTTAGCAAGGCCCCATAAAAGCATTTGTTATCTTGTGCGCATACACACCAACACACCTTTGCTGAGATCTACATTTGCCCATTTTTTTCGTTTAGATCTTGTCAGTGTAAGTCGCTGACCCTGGCGTGGTTCAAGACAACTTAATGCGGCGCTCAACAATTACCAACCCTGAATTTAATCCTTTGTCAATCTTTTCTCAGTAGCAAATCGCGACCTTTCGGTA